GTGCTACAGGGATAAAGAGATTAATGCTGTCTTCCCAGAATCCGGGGTTGAATGGAGACAGTGATATATCAAAAAACCCTTAATGCTGGTAGACTCTGATGGGCGCAGAAGCACTATGAGGACCCAGAAGGGTATATATAGTACCTCGAAGGCAGTGGGTAGTGAAAGGAAGCCCACTAGGAGGTGACGGAGGAGACCCACAGGATTGGGCAAATCAAGACTGCACCTAGCGGGCCACAGGGATGGGAGCCGTGGTGGCCCAGAGGAGCAGGAGTCTGGAGTGAATTGGTGGGACGCAACGAAGGTGCAAAGGCACACGAGATCCGCGAGCATGGGGCAGTGTTCATGACAGCAAGGAGTCCTGAGCTGTGAGAGCAAGGACCTGCTTCTCGTGCACTGCTGCGGACATTTAATTAGGCTGTGCTGCTGAAAACAATTCTTGATGTTGGAGCCACCACGAATGAGAGCACGGGGACCAAAACAGTAGCCTGGCACTGGAGAAGGATGAACAGGAGTTCCCGGCAGGCCCTCTGCATCTGAGGGCCTCAGCAGGGTCTGCTGAGATGCAGGACAAAAGCTCAAGATCAGTGGGGGGCAGAAAGGCACATTTGGGAATCGCCCAGAAAGCACAGAAACACGAGCCATGAGCATCCACGTAGTTCTCGGAACAGAGAGGCCGAAGGTGAGGACAGATCTCTGAGCTAAAAACCACTCAGAGACCTCCAGCGTCCTCCTTAAGCTTAGCTGATGGCAGCAGGAGGAAAAGCCAACGTGCAGAAAGGAAAGGCGGCAAGGCTGGGATCTGGGATAGAGGCCTCTTGGGAACCACTGGAAGGTGAACAAGATGAGGATACTGTCAGTCCAGGGGTTGTGGATCACCCTGGATTCCCCACAGCTTCATTTCTCCAAGTTTTGAAGGCTGCAGTGGGACATTTTAACGAATTAACAAATATTGTAACTGCTTTTGTCTCAGGTTTCAGGGGTGACGCTAGTGAGCAAGTGGTGTGAGCCACCTCTCTCGCTCCACACCGTCGCTGCAGCAGAGCTGCTAGTGACATGGGCACAGGAAGCGAGCTCGGTTCTGGCTTTCAGACTCGTCTCAGCACAGGGGCTCTGGCCGAGGCAAACCCCACTTCTCATGCCCTGTACCTGGAGGAATGCTCGTAATACGATTTTGCTCACAAAGCAGAGTTGGAAGTGCTGTTAGTAAGGGAGATTGCAGAAGAAAGCTGCACCTTGGGTTAAAGTCAAATAATGAGTTACCAGTCCCTCGTCACTTACAGTCCAACCTGACGAGTGTTTCTCATGAATGCAAGTGGGGGTGGGGGGTGGAACATTCCCTAGCTAGGCAAGCGGAGGCCAGGTCCTGGGTCAGTCCGCTGAGACTGCTCCAGGACACGGTGGACCACTACACTAACAGAAATTTGGTGGGCTGCACATGTGGGTAGATTCTATAATGGATCAGTTATTCCACCTTGAATTCGCCTATAGCCCAAAGCTGGGGCTCAGTAAGCGTTTTTAGAACAAATAATTGCTTTTCATCATGCATGTACCTTTCCTTTTCACAGGCAATCCAATACAGAAAATACAGGACATTTCAGATGTAATTAATTACTTGGTCCTTCCCTCCCCTGAAGAACTCACTGCAGCTCCCTCCCTTTAAAGCTCACTGCTAATAACACACAAGACTACCTAGGTGGAAGTGGCCTGTACACCAAGGGTCTGCAAGCAGCTCTTGCTCACCTCTCCTGCTGTATCTGCATCCACACTGCCCGGGGCCTGCAGTGCTCCCAACCCCCTCACCCTTCCTTCTCTGGTCTTTTCCTCCTTACTGGCTCCAAGACAGCTATACATGTCACTGTAGTATACACAGTATTTCCTAAATAGACTGTGTCCTTTTATGCAAGGAGTTTAGTCATCTTCTTCATTAAAAGATGGTACTAATTTGCTCATTAATAACCCATCACCGTAAAATCACATCGGAGCACCCAATCTGACCTCCTGGGCTCCACATGCCAGCACAACAGGCTCCAAACTGCGGAGGCTGCAGAAGCTGTGAGATAAACAGGGTGGCGGTGGCGAGGAAGTTCTTACTCAAAACTAAATACAGCCGCTGCTTGCTGATCAAGAGCTGAGATCACTCAGAGAGATTGTGCCGAAACTCTTCTGGGATTCTAACTCCCTGAGAAGGCAGGTCTTGGCCTGCTCCTGCCACTCAGTGAACAGGTGAGAAAGGAGAGAAAGCACAGGCATGACCTGTGCTAGAGACAAGTGCTCATTTGAGTTTTATCTTCCCAAAGCATCAGTATTTCCTAAAACTTAGAAGTTTTTTTTTTTCTCACAGACTTGCAAACAGGCTTTAAGGTGCCTTCTTACCCAGTTTCCTGCTAACCACCAGACCAGGCTAGAAAAACGAATCCACTGAGCATTTCTAATGCACAGTGCACCCAAGGGCACTTTCTACAGCAGACACGAATAACACCAACTCGAGTTACCTGTAAACCTGCAGTCCACGAGCCGCTGCCAGATCTACTCCCACTTGGAAGCAGCACCTACATGTGCACTGGCAACATGAAACCCTGCTGGGCTGGGGAAACGATATGGCGAGGGCTGGGGTTGGGGACGAAGAGCTAGGGTTTGACTGTGGCAGAGAGGTCTGGAGCGTTGTGGGTCCACAGAATAGCATTAATCTACTTGTAGATATTGGAAGAGGAGCATCTGTAAAAGGGATAATAATGATGGCTCCCTCGGGGTTGTCTGAGGATCTGAATTGAATTGATCAATTTGGAGTGCTTGAAACAAGGGCAGGCACATAAGACTTCATTTTTGTTTTGAGACAGGGTCTTGTCATGTATTTCAGGTTGGCCTTGAACTTACTATATAGCCCAGGCTGGCCTTGAACTCACTGCGATCCTCCTGCTTCAGCCTCCTGAGTGCTGTGATTATAGGCATACACCACCATGTCTGGCTAATACTTCATCTTATAATAATAACAATGTATAAAATTAATAGAAGAGGAAAGAAATTTGCTGCATGACAATAAAGAACCTCTTCATCGAACAGCTCTTTTCCTGGGAACCTGTTTTTCCTCTTCAAACTAAAGGATGCCAAGAAAAGCACAGGAGAATATAAAATCGATGTATTTTCCACCTGGTCAGATCATTCCAGGCAAAAACTACGGTTCATACATGCTAACAAGTTCAAAAATATCAGGCCTGTGAAATGCAGTTCTGAGCATTTCAGTGTTATAACTTCTGCTCTGATCCACAACAAAGGGGCTTGAGAAACATGGGGGAAAAAGAAAAGTTGAGGATTTCTACAGAAAATACACCACCTCCTTCAAAGCGAAAGGTCACTGAGTAAGTCTGTGCCTCACCCTCAAGATACCACCAAAAAGGTCCAGGGGTCCTTTCTCCAGCCCCCCAGACAGCCACTGCCCCACCGCGTCCCACGTGTAGAAGCTGCATGCACTTCCGTGGGCACAGGCTGCTGAGGATTTTGCATCCTGCAGCGCCTCCCGCCTCGGCCTCCCACGCAGCCCCTGCTCCGCTGACCTAAATGTGTCCGCCTGCTTCCTGGCACTCCCACACACAGCCCAGCGTCCTCATGGCTCTCCTTACTGATGAAGTGAAGGTTAATGCAACACAAGGCAAAAGGAATTGTTCGTGGGAGTCAGTGCCCCTGGGTTCCATGCATTCCCACTCCCTCCTGGGCCTCCAGTTTTACCTGCAAGATGGGACAAGCAGAGGTAGCTTGGGCATGTGCCCTCTGTGAGGAAAGCGACTTTATAAATCCTGGGGCTTTTTTAGCTTGGGATTCTAAACCTGGAGAGACCGTAAAATTCAGAGACGGGCCGAGTCCAGGAATCCAGAGTGTGTGTGTGTGTGTGTGTGTGTGTGTGTGCGTGCGCGTGCGCACGCGTGAGCGTGTGCACATGAGTGAGTGGGGTGGGGTGGCGGTGTCTTTTCATACAGTGTCATTCACTATTCTTACAGACTTAATCCAAATGCTCTTCACATATTTTCTCAATTTCAAGACTCCTGAGGTTAGGCTTCTTATGTCATGTTTGACCTTGAGAGTTAAAATCAAGGGCAAAAGGTCATGAGTGTGCACGAGTTTTAGTTCCTGCTACCAGCAGTGACCTATAAATTAAGTGGTGAACCATGCCAGCCAGCCGGGGCCTCCCTGCCTCACCCTGTCAGCTGCAGGGCCAGCAGCACAAGATGCTATAGCAGGACAGGGAGACAGGGCAGGGACAGTGGCCAGGGAAGCTGGGAAATGAAAACAAGACAGTCAAGCAGGGATGAAAGTGTACAGGATGAGACAGAGAGAAGGAGGCAAGGAAGGAAAGCAGAGGGGGAGGGCACAAGTCGCAAGGGGTCAAGGCTGCAGGCCAGCAGCTGGCAAAGGTGGTCGGACCACAAGCACAGCGTCCAGTTGGGGCAAGGCTGAAAGGGGTGTCTGACTATTTATACTTTTAGGAGCTCTCTGAAAGCGGTTCCAGCCAAGAAGAGACTGACTTCAAGGTGCTATTCATTTCACAGTGCTTGGACTCTTCTGAGCACCTCCTGACTTCATATTATACCTAAGGCAGAGCCCGTGGTGGGTGACTGTCCTCAGTCAGAGGCATCGGATGAGAGCCTGGAGAGACGACTGGGACACCCGGCAAGGACAGCTGGCCCAGCAAAACCAGAGCACAACACAACAAAGCCCCCTTACTCGGGAATGTAGTCAAGTAATTCTGACTTGGCAGAGGTGTGCAGCTGGCTATAGAACAGAAGGAGCTCTCTGAATCCAAACTGTTGCCTCTTAATCCCTTAATTAGACCAAGTTCTTCAGGAGGAAGCACAAGTCCCTGTTCCCAAGGGAGGTCTGAGCCAGCACACACCGACAAGTCATGGATGCACACACCCTTATGTGTGCACGTGCAAGCACACACATGCACATACGCACAGCTGTGTGTGTGTGCTTGAGTATGAACAGACACTCATGTGAGCAGCTCAGTTTAGAAAGATTTATTTGCTGATGAGAGCCATGATCCGGGGCAGCAGAAACCGCTCTCCGCAAGGTGATGCGGGGCATGGGGTGTGAGGGCAGTTGTGGCACCTGCTGGCACGTTGGAGGCTGCGCCCAGTTCTGTGGGTTAACTCTGCTCTGACTTCAGGCCAGAGTCTGCCTGATGGCACCGACAGCATGGTGGTTGGAGGTCCTGGCTGGAGAGAACTCACCTGGAAGCTTTCTTCTTCTTCTTCTTCTTTTTCATAGCAGCTGCATCTGGTGCAGCATCAACAGCTATTTCTACTGGCTGAGGCAGCTTTGTCTTTGCTCTGCTCTTTTTGGGCTTTGGGGAACACTCCTGCTCACCAGGGGCCTGGACACAGTCCTCAGAGGCCTCATCCCTGCAGGTGTCTATGGACTGCCACTTGGCCCAGTCGTCCTTCTTTGCCATAGGTAACTGGCTCTTTTCTTCTTCCCGCTCTTTCTTTTTAGGCCGCCTGGCTTTGGTTTGGGGGTAATTCTCCAAGTCTTGATCTGCTGCGTGTCTGGTTTTTTTCTTTCCCTTTTTCCATCCCATGTGGGTCTCTGAAAGGCCAGGCTCAGCAGTAGGGTGCTGTGGCTTGCTCCTTAGCTGGGCCATCCGCTGGGCAAAGTACTCCTGGATGGTGTAGGTGCTGGTAGTCGTGGCGGTGGTCTCACTCCTGTCCTCAGTGGCAGGGCTGCACTTGTCCTGGGTGGGGAGAGAGTTGAAAGTGGTAAGCATCGCAGCAGCTGTGCAGCCACACACACTTGCAGTTAGAAGAGAGCCTGAGAGCCAGCTGCCTGTTTCTTCCTCCCCTCTGCTGGGCCTGGACCGCACAGTATAGGGCAAAGTAGCCGCACGTCCTGTGGCTGAGTACCAGGCAGGACAGTAGCTGGACAGACAGCAGCTAATGTAGGATATTAGCTGGCAAGCTGCCTACGTGGATTTCTGAGTAAACATTTCCTCAGGAACAATGCTATAAATGGTGATCAAATCCCCAGGGTCTCCCATAAAACCAGGGTCACTGAAATTCTGGAGCTTTGTGATTTTGACAGACACTCATTTCAGCTTCCTCATGGAGCACACAGGTCTCTGCGTGTTGATCTAGAGACAGACACCGTATGTACGGGATAACTGTCCGCACAGGCAGGAGCCGATTCTAACCCATGTGGGGAACGGTTTCTTTCTCATCACTATCCAGTGTGTAGCCACTTTGATTGGAATCCAGATAAGGATTTGACTAACTACTAGAAATGTAGTTGGCAATGCTTTGCTTGTATAGCTAACTCACCTAACAAAAACCAACACATACAAACAGACCCTGTGCTTTTTGACCCAGTGGCCCTTCCCCTGCCAAAAAACCCAAAAAAGCTCAGAGAAATGAGAAGTAGAAATTTCCTATTTGAAATTCCAGTAGAATCAGGGGCAACTTGTGTAGCCACTGCCCCACTGCATCAAATGCCACTTCCAGCATCCCTACTTATCAAATCAACACTGACCTTATTTTCTTTAGCCTCTGGGCTAAAAAAACAAAGTCATGTATTAACATTTGAAATTTCAAAGGTAAGATGCAAAGCATGTAGGATGAACAACCAATCTTTGGGAAGAAGCTTAAATGATCTATCAGCATTCATTTTTTGATGGAATTCCATCAGGTAATTTTGGGGAAAGAAAAAAAGAGCTGCGCTAGGAGACAGAAACCAGGGCAGGTGTCTTTTCATTCCTCATACGCTGAATAAGGTCTGAAACTGCACAGCAGGAAGAAACTCCTTCTCAAGGCTCTTGGTGCTAGCCAGTCAATCCCAGGCGGTGGACAAGAAGGCTCTTGCCTCCCACGAGGGCACACACCCCAGTCATACAGGGACATGGGTACTGGGCAGGTGGCCCAGTTACGGAACAGGTCTTGGCGATAGGTGCCTGCTGCGAGCCAGTCCCTCTTCTGGTGCGTATTTGTGAGTTAGAAATTTAGTTTGAGCCATATCCTTCGGACATCTGTGCCGTGCTCGTGTACTAGCAAATGCATTCCTGCTTTTACTAGTTTGATCGCAGGAACTGAATGCGGTTATTAGTCATGCATTTGGTTATTAGGAAACACAAGAGCATTTTTAGTCACTCGCTGAATTCAGTAGATCTTTGTAATCCCAGAAAATAGGCATGCTGCTAATGGACTCCTACAATACTGGGGAGGAAGCAACCCCCAGCCAGGGAGACAAGCAGAGGACGGGCCCAAGCCCAAGCCCTGCTCCTCTCCAGGGAGGGGCAGACAAAACGACCTGCTCAGGCAGCTGCTCAAGGTTGGGCAGCCACCGTCGACTACAGGAATATATCCTCGCTGAAAACCACAGACACAAAGGAGAAACACTGCCTGGGACTCACATTCCACACACTTGCAATCAGAAACTCAGCTTTACTAGAGATTATAACCCCTGGTTCTCTATTCTTGGTCTCAGCGTCCTATCAAAAAATATATATGTCTTCAAGAAAACAAACACGTTTTACATCTGGTCTCTTTTACAACATGAACAAGCCCTGAAAAAAAATCAGTTATTCGTAACATATTTTGAAACAGACAAGTTGGCATCTTCTCATATTTCCATTAAGCACATAACACAACCTCAAAACAGTGTGTAATACTTAAATTTTGTGACTTTCACTGCTTTGTAGACTTGGAGAATGTCTTCATTTAATGGTGTTCTATAAATGAGCAAAACAGACTTTTAAGTAATGTGAAAACTTCCAGTTCCACATACATACTACAGAGGAAGTTGTGCCTAACTCGTCATCTTGCCAAACATCTGACATAAGCTCAGGAAACGTCTCTTTTGAAAACTGATTCCTATTATTAACTAATGGAAGGCCTTAGGTGAACCCCAAAGCCTCTCTGGGCCTCAGTTACCCAAGTAAGTAAAATCAGCAGGTTAAATTAGGTGCCTTCTAAGGTCGCTGCAGGGCTAAAATGTAGTGGCCCCCGAGGAGCCGGGTGGGCGGCATCAATCATTCCACAGTGCAGAGCGCAGAGAAGGCCCAGTGAGCCCAGCGAATGGGTGGCAAGCTGAGCCCCGATCACGGAAAGCCACCACTGTGACTGTCAGGCCTACCTAAGGTGATGACAGAGCTATACTCTGCCCCTAAACAAACCCACTCAGCACCTGCAAGAAAGCATACGGCCGAAGATCACATCCAGTGTATCAGTCAGGAGAGCAGAAGGAGCCAGATTCTGTTTAGTCCTGAATAACAAGGATTCATTTGAAAGAACTGCTGCTATATAGAGGCTAAAATCCGTAAAGGTCAAACGCTGAAGTGACTATTAATTAGAACAAAAATCTCTTTTAAACCTAAGTCCTGGGAAATCATCCCAACACAGCCTTCTAAGCAAAGGGGTAGGAAGCTGGAACTCTACATTCCAGCGTTGTACTTTTGAAGGTTCTCTTTTTATGTTTCATAGCTTAAAATCTTTACTGATCCTTCACATACCGTAAATTTTTTCCTAAATGGTAGACTGTGGGTCGAGGAAAGGCTGGAACTGGAAGTGGGGGTTCTGAAAGGAATGAACTGAACTGGCAGTTGGCAACTCGGCTTTATGCCTCTGCAGCCCAAGATCCCTCAAAGCTTGCTCTTACACTAAGTTTTACCTGCCCTCTGGTGACAGCTCTTCCTGCAGTGCAGGGAAGGGGAGAGGTGAGAGGCCCGCGTGGGATCCCCAGCTCCCTGTGACTACAGATGGTGCTGGCTGACAAGGATGCCCTCTTGTGTGGTGGAGCTCTGGGCAGGGGCATGCCATACCTAACTGTCTGCGCCCAGCATCCCACAGCACCCCTAGACAGGAGCTTTTCAAAGAAAGGCTTCAGTGAATGGGAGGAGAAATGGTTAGAGAATTAGCAAACATTTAAAACTCACTCCTCCTACATTTGTAATATATGTTCTTCCCTTTCACTAGTAAGAAAGATACAAAAGCAAACACAGAATCTTGAGGTATTTTCTACATGTTTCTAGCAGTGACTATTTTTTGGAAATACAAAATGGAAGTTTCTTATACCATTCTAAAAAACAGTTTGATGAGTTAATATTTCATTCTAATCCAATAGTTTGATGTGTTAAAATTTTTTGATGATTGATTTTCCCCCAGTGTTAAATAGGACTTTGACTTCTACAGAATTGACACATGTTCTATGGATTAGAACCCAGATTACTTGGGGGACCTGCTTCCCACTTCAGAGCACCTTGACTTTGAAGCCAGAAGAGCCAACTAGGATTACTAAGCTCAGTCACATGACCATTCGTGACACATGGAAGAAGATAGCCACCATCAAAGACCCAGGCACTCAACATCTTGAGGCATCACAAATGATTTCACTGCAACCCAGGAAGCAGCATTCTCTCCATTTTACAGTGGTGGAAATGAGACTCGAGGCATTTAATTTGTAAGTCTCAGGGCTAGGACACATTAGGAGTGGAACGTGGTCCCAAGGCTGCCAGGAATGAAGCCACTCTCCTCCATTCTGGTGCCCTGACCGCTAGTCTGCGGCAGTCTCACCTGTCACCTTTTCTGTCTTCAGAGGCCACCTCAACACTAAAATACAGGATTACAAGATCCAGGGATGAAGGAGGGCAGAAAAAGTTTCAGGGAGAAAAACTGTGAAAGAGATAAGACTACCTTTTAAAAAGCGAGAAAAAAAATCTTACCTAGTTTGTAGTTTATGTATTTAAATAATACCCTAAAGCCAGGCATAAGCAATCTATAACTTGTCAAATTAGTATGTAAATTCTCTTGATAAAGCCTGACTGGAAACACTCAAGTCCAACCTCCTACCCAAGGCAAGAGTCCCTCTCGGTTAAGCGTTGGATAACCTCTTGGACACTTCCAGTGTAGAGACTGGGTTACTCTGGGTTGTAGTCCACACACAGTTAGCCCTTGTAGACTCAGTTTCCTCTTTATCAATAGGTAGATTCCAGGGGTACATAGATATATACTAGGAGAATCTTCATTTCTAACCCATCTCTAACAACTGAGAATCAGCGATGAAACAAGACAGCAGATGCAAAAGATGACATTGCAGAGAGAGGCCCTTATGATATGAATTACATACACCACAACCCTCTCAGGCACCTGATGAGCACCTGACGCCACGCACGTCCACTTTCCCCCAGTGTCTATTGGAGGATGAATCTGTTGTTTCTTTTAGATATCCTATCTGGAGGCTTGGCAGCTTGATATGTTGTCTGCCGAAAGCTCCTCTGGGAGAACTCTGCTCTTGTGTCATCCAGATGTGCACACTGAGATAGAGTACCAGAAAAATGTTCAAAGAGAAAGATTCTCGTTATCACTCTCAGAAGAATGTTATCGGTCTCCTTCTGGCCGGGAAAGGAGTAAGTATGCAGAGAGCGAGCTCAAGTGAGGCATTTGGGGCAGATGCGCCCTGTGTGTATAACCTGACTACTCACAACAGACACACCCTCCCAGGGACAGTAGTCAGAGGCTTAGCTCGCTGGGCTGTCTCCTGTGCTAGGGCTGCTCACGAGTGATGGGGTGGAGCAAGTTCTCTGACTTGCACGAGAAGAGCCACAGGTCTGCGCAACACTCATCCTTCAATGCGCTTTTCTCATCAAAAGTAAAAGCCAACACCCAGAGCTCAAGGGCAATGGATTTAGCAACCGTGGCTATTAGTTCTGATGGCTACTGCTTGTGATGAACCAGCGCTCCCCTCCAC